GTGCCTTGTGCAGAAAGTTCACTTGGAACACAACATTCAGAAGCATCTGCGCTATTCCCAGAAGTTCCCCTTCTCCCACTGGTGTTTGTGTTTGAGCTTTCCCCGTTTGGTCCTGTACTTACTGGAGCAGTGCAGTTTGACCGGCGGAAGGCAGAGCTCTTTAGCGATATCCGTGTTCTTGATTTTCAACGCTTCGTCAACCTGAAACACAGTTAGTGGGGTCACTGCTCACAGAATCGTACCATTGTCAAGGTTGGAAGGGGCCTTTAAGATCACTGAGCCCCACCATCAACCTAACTTGGATAAAAACCATCACTAAACCATGTCACTAAGCACTACATCAACCTGTCTTAAACCCCTCCAGGGATGGTGCCTCCACCTCTTCCCTGGGAAGCCCATTCCAAGGTTTAAGAACCCTTTCAGTGTGAACATTTTTCTTAATGTCCACATGAGGTACAACACGGGCTATGAAGGCATTTGCTCTGAGAGTGCTTCAGTGCTGCAGAGCCAACAGTATCGCGGAAGAACATCTCAGCTTCCAGGGGTAGCGAAGGATTTTGGAATTAAGGATTGTCTCAGAGTGAGCAGTGACAGGAATGAATCAGTGTCACAGACCAAGCGCTGCTTTGGGGACTGTTTCTATGCTTAACTTTATCATAACATAGAAATGTGTTTCCTGTGTGGCAGAAAAAGTATAAATAATCTAAAGACTGTCCAAAACTAAGCTTTCCTTCACAACCCATGATCGGTGTGTTTTTGTTTTCTGCGCAAAGCACTCCCCTGCAGATTAATGGAGGTTCTTAAGAAAGGCAATTATCACTCGAGAAATCAGGCCCCTAACAAGGGTGACAGTTGCTGTTTTCTAATCTACTGCACCACTCTCCTGGTTTGGCCACCTGGGCCGGCCACCAAAACAAACAACCCCCACGCTGCACTGAGCCAGCGCTGGGATTCCGAGGTCACCCTTTCTGCCACGCTCCCAGCAGAGAACACAAGCACGTCTGAAGCTCTGAAGACTTTCCGCAGCGTCACCTCCGACCCTGCCGAGGACTCTCACCGTTTTCCCTTTGACCCACTCCGTCGCCAGAGAACTGGACGCGATCGCCGACCCGCAGCCGAAGGTTTTGAAACGGGCATCCACGATCCTCCCGTTCTCGTCCACTTCCACCTGCGAGAGCGTCGGTATCACCTCAGGGGTGCCAGGTGCCCCCAGAGACACCCCCTGAAGCCCAGGCACGGCCCTGGCTCCCACCGCACCCTGGGGAGCGGGACAGGCCCTGCCCGGGCCCCAGGGGACGCTTCAGGGCCGGGGTGTGTGAGGAAAGGCCGCGCCGCAGCCCTAAGGGGAAGGGTTTGGGCCTTGCAGGAATCTCAGGCGAATCCCTCCCCCCAGTGCCAGCGGGTCCCCAAGGTCACCTGCAGCTTCATGACGTCCCCGCAGGCCGGGGCACCCACCAGGCCGGTGCCCACGTTCTTGGCGTTACGGTCCAGGGAGCCGACATTGCGCGGGTTCTCGTAGTGATCCACCACCTGCCGAGGGCACGGCGTCACCAAAAACCACCGCGTGTCCCCCTAACCCCTCCCCTGCCCTGCCCTGCCTCTCCCCCTCTCCACAGCCCCTCGCCCCTCACCTTCTTATGGTAGCCCAGCCTGGCCGCCGCCTCCCCGCGCCCGGGCCGCAGCAGCGCCGCCCCCGCCGCCCTCAGCGCCGCCATCTTGAGCCTGGCGGGGGCGGGCGACCCCGCGCCGCCCTTTTATAGCCTCGGGCGGGGAGGCCCCACCCCTCGCGCCGCCCTCGCGCTGCCTCAGGCCCCACGTTGTAACGGGGGCTGCCGTGCGAAGGGGGCGAGGGCTGAAAGTCGCCTGCGGGGCGGGAGGTGTGTGTGGGGGGGAACCGGGCAACCCCGCGCCTGTCGCTAAAAACGGTCGATAAACGCTGTTTCCGATCGCGGCACCGCTTTTACCGCGGCACCCGGCGCCTGTGCGGGCCGCGGCGGCCACACTCAATATGGCGGGCGGGCAGCGCCGCCCGCGCTCCGGTCCTCTTCGGAGGCCCCCTAGCCGCCAGGTCCCGGGGTGTCCGCCGCGCCGCCGGCGCCTCGGCTGAGAAGACAAGGGCTTCGGTTCCGCTGTCCTTCACCGCAACGCGGCCCCGGTAGGCGGCCGAGCAGGGAATCCTGTGGGAGGCGTCTCGCCCCTCTCATCGCAGCGCTTGCCTGGCGGCAGCGCGCGAGAGCAGGACAGGCGCGATCGGGGCAGCCCCGGCAGGCGGCGGAGCGCGGCTGGCCGTGAAGGGAGCTGCATAAGATGGCGGCGGCGGGAGCCGAGGCGGCTGCGGTGGCGGCAGAAGAAGAGAAGCGGCTGCCGGAGGGCGACCCCGAGTCGGGGGGCGACTCAGAGGACGAGGGCGACTCGGACTCGTCTGGTGATGGCGAAGATGAGGAGAAGGAGAACGAGGCTGAGATCCAGCGGCTGGAGGAGCAGGTGCGGCCCGCCAGGGCTGGTGGCGGCGTGGGAAGGGGATGGTGGGGTAATATCGCGGTCTCCGGCTGGTCACGGCTCCTGGCCCAGGGGGAAGCCGTCCTGGAGGCCGGGCCTGGTGCCGGTGGTCCGCCCCTGGTGCTGCAGGAGACGCCTCGGGCGCCCCGCGGGAGCGGTCCCGGGGCTGTGAGGAAGGCTCGTCCCGGAGAACAGAGGCCTCGCCTCAGGGAAGTCTCGGAGCGGGGCGAGACCCGGCCTTCGTGGGGGTTTCCTTTGGGTGACTGCCTGCTGTGGCGGTAACGGGGAAAAAATCCATGTCTGCTCCTGTGGTTTGATGCTGGGAACTGTCTAAGCGTGAATGTTGAGAGCCTGAAATGGAAACTAGGCTTTTAGGGCGAGAGGAGAGCCCTTTCTTATTAAAAAAACTAAAACATATTTGGCTCTGAAGAAGGATTTCTTCGTTTTGCACTTCTGGGTCTGTTTCCACAGCTGGTAGTTGCTGTATTCCTGGTGCTGGTGTTTGTGCTGCTGAGCAGTAACCTTTAGAGCTTAGAGCTGTAGGCTAAGCTCAGAGCTTAACTTTAAAGCTTTGTTAAATTTGGAAGTCTTTTTTATAAATGTCTGCTTGTGATGTGAAAAAGCATCTTGCAAACAATATTGAAGTTTGGCGCAACTCTGTGCGGGAAGGGAAGTGTTGTCTTGGCTGTGTGGCACGTGAGGAGACTTGTGTGCCCCAAAAGATAGTGTGATACTCTGTTCTACTAAACGTTCTCAGGTTTTTTCATGTCTGCCACTCAACAGTGCTTTTAAAAAAAAATTACTTTTTTTTTTTTTAAAGCTTTCCATCAACGCTTTTGACTATAACTGTCACTTGGATCTGATAAAGCTGCTGCGCCAGGAGGGAGAGTTGATAAAGCTCAGAAGAGCTCGTCAGAAGATGAGTGAACTCTTTCCACTTAATGAAGGTACGAAGCATCTTCTGCATCATGCATGTAAAACACTGTTGTTTCAGTAGTGAAACT